ACCATGCCGAAAATGCCGAGACATTAAGCAAGGTGCTGTTAAAGCACAAACTGTTCCAGGAGAAAATCTCAAAATTTACTGACATAAGGTTTATTCTCTATGATTTGTTCAAGCGAGAGCAGAAAATGTAATCAGGAATCTAGCTTTTTATAGTTTAGTGTCTCAAAAGAATACAAGTGACATGCTTCATTTCAATGTCAGTTACTACTGCAGTAATAGCACCAAAAGATCAAAATTATAAACCTTTACACTATGCTTAGTTCCTATCATTTTTTGTTTTATTTGGTAATTGGCTGGTTAAAGCTGCAAAGATTCTATGAGCTAGTTTGATCATTTTCTATACAGCTCGCCATTGACCTTTTATTTTGCCAGCTCAAGATCTTAATATGTTCAAATACAAATTTAAGATGTATATGTTAGCTTGAGGTCTAAGTATTTGGTAAAATAATCATTAAAATTCAATCCCTTGGACAATGGCTGAGATATTTGGGGGACAAATCAGTTATATTATTATGTGGGTGCATTCAAAAAATCAGGTTGTGCATTTCAAGCCTCTAAAGAAAATAAATCTCTTCACCTTTTTTCTTTCCTCATCTAGGTGCAGGTTTCTAGAAAATATGTTGACCCCAAGGCTTCTGAATGCTCCTTCCTAGTTAAGGTGTCTGTGTGCCTTCTATCTTACACACCGATAATAATGATATTTAAATTATCAAGCATAAATGGAGCAAGATCAACGGCCATTAAAAGGCTGTGGGGCATTGCTGAAGCACTCACGTTGACCGATAAAATTAATTTAGTTCTTTACCAGTATCTCACATAACAGTCATAATTTTATCATACACTGAATCCTATAAACTATAGTGGGTTTGGATCGAAATATATTTAGATATTATAATTTGATAACATTGATGAAAATCAGATTATAATAAATTTCAAATTATTTTTTTTTCAAAATAATAAAGGTTTAGAGATTTAATTAAAAACATTATTTTCAAGCTGTGTTTTGCTTTCCAATTTTATCACCAACAATTGACCAATTCAAATACAAAAAACTCAGACAAATAAATTCATATGCATTTTTTTATATATAATTTTACTATAAAAACTAACTTTGGACAATTCAAATGAAATAGATTTATCCTAAAACCACACATAACATCCAAACAACTTATTTCACATAATCGATGTAATCAACTATTGAATTAATCTAAAATAATTCAACACAAAATCCAAAAAAATGCACAAAGTGAATGGATAATGGGTTGCTTGGTTCGAGAAAATGTTTTCTTCATTTTCTGTTTTCACTTTATTTCCTATTTTCTGAAGGTAACGCTGGAAAAAGTGAAAACAGAAAACAATATTAAGTTGTTTTCATTGTTTCCCAGACAAACATTCCGAAGCATGAGACAAAGTGAAAGAAAAACGAAAACAGGGAAGATTATCTCAAACTAACGGGCCACAAAATTGTACCCTACTTAATCAACACAGATAGCAATTACATTGGAATTGCAAAGGTACAACTCATTGTTACTCATTTTAACTTTTCCCACAATTTTATGGTCCTCGCTTGAATGTGAGTTGTGTGAAGCACCTTTCCCAATAATAAACAAGTTGTACATTCGTTTCCTTTAGTTCATTATGACATATGGGGTCCAAGTTGTGTTACTTCTCCATTAGGTTACCAATGCTTTGTCAAATTTATCAATGATAGCTCTCATTGTTCTTGGTTGTTTCTAATGAGGAATAGATCTAAACTTTCGTCTATTTGTCAAAGCTTATACTAACAAATTCGCACTCACTTTGAAATGACTAGGTGGGAAGCTGAAAACTATGTATTCTTTCTTCATTAATCAATTGCCACTTCATTTATCTTGTGGTTTATCTTGACGTCATGTTATCACTGGAAATGACCACGCTGATATTATTTGTGTCAAACATCATATGACCCAACACTTTCAGACCAAGGGTTTAAATCCTCTCAAATACTTGGGTCTTGAAGTTACCCGGTCTACTTTTGGCATTATCCTTAGTCAACAAGAATAGTTTTGGAAATTCTTGAGGAAATAAGCATGATTTTTTGCAAACCTCGTAATACCCCAATGGATCCCAATGTCAAGTTGCTCTCAGATAAGAGAGGCAATGAAAGACCTATGCAGATATCAGCGTATAAGAGTATATTACTCCTGTTGTATCTCAGCTGTCTACAAGACAGCTGACTTTCATTTTGTAATAGCTTCTTGTGTAAGTTTTTCGTATAAGACTGATCTAGCTTGCTGTACAAACTAATCAGTTGAGTTAGTTAGTTTTCCTGAATAAATACCAGTTTGTAAACTGATTCATTCACTCAATTCATTTCAATATAATCAGAAATATTATTTTTCCTTTTCTCTTTAGTTCAATACAGAGCCAGGTAGGTAGACTTAAACTATCTTATGGTAATTAGACATGATATCACCTTAGTCGTAAGTGTGGCAAATCAATCTTGAATGCTACATGTGATGCTTATTGGGATAGAATGGTTCACATCCTCAGATACATTAAAAATGCACCTGCAAAGCTTGCTTTATGCAGACAAAGCAAAACTAAAACTGTCATTTATTCCAATGCAGATTGGCAGGATCTCCATCTGACCAGATGCACATCAGGCTATTTTGTTCTTCTTGGAGGAAACAGTCTCATGGAGAGGCAAGATATAGAACATAGTTACTAGATCGAGAACAGGGGCTAAATATCATGCAATGGAAGCAACATGTGAACTAATGTGATTTCGACAACTACAATTAATGTTAGGGTATATGAAGGAGACAAGGTTAATTTGTGATAACCAAGTGCTCTCCATATTGCTTCTAATCCAATCTTTCACACATACACACACAGAGAGAGAGAGAGAGAGAGAGAGAGAATTTGACCATCAGTTTTTATGCCAAAAAGAAAATTCCTTGCAAGTTAAATTACAACTGACTTTTTCAGTTCTAGCTAACAGCTTGTTGACAAGTTCACCAGATCCCTTAAAAGGATCCATGGTTGAATATATTCTAAAAAACTTGGTGTATATAATTTCATTTATATGCTCCAACTTGAGGGAGAGTATTAGATAAAGTACATGTATCACATGTTTAATTAGTATTCAACACATGTAACGTATGCAACATGCCATAAGGACTCTATTAGCATTTATTTCTGAACAAAACTCATCCGACTATAAATACAAGTGTGTAGTTTGCCTTAGACACACAATTTCATAAAACCTAATAGAATAACAAGGTACTTTTAGCAAAAACTTACCTTGCATATGACCAAGATAAACATAGAAGACAGCAGGGATGAGAAAACCCTTGATACAAGCCACAAACCAAATAATAAAAATACGGACCCAAGTCTTAAATATCATGATGGAATGAAGTATTATTGATGATTAAGCAAAATGCGATGATTACCTTACTGAATAAAGTTCTGAATTTCTCCTGACATTAGCATAATCCATGGTTGAAGAGTAATTATGTCATCCATAAAGACAAGAAGCTGAAATCCACAGCTAAAAGCTATGATAAACAAAATAATAGAACTACACATCACATTACTAGGGGATTTCAACTCGCAGTTATTTTGCAAAATATTCTCCATAGTCAATAATAAACATAACAAGAAACTTCAGAAGAATATGAATGCTAAGATTGGAAACTGGGACATTAAAAGAACTTTTTGAAAACTAGCAACTTCTAAAACTCTAGTCTCTTGATATGTCAGAATTTGTGAAACTATATCAAGGTTATAAATAGTGCACTATGATAGATAACGACCCCCTATTACCAGGGTCTATGTTAGGACTTAGGAGGAACAAGAGAGCCATGGAGGATAACAACCTTTAGGGACTTCAGTTAGTGGGTAACTAACTGTAGTCAGTTAGTCAGTTAGAGAATGGGAGTTAGTGTAGGGAGGCTTACAAAACAGTTAGGGTTTTTTGTGAAAAAGGTGTATAGTTCTTGGTAGGAGAGTCAGGTTCTCTCAAATGAACCTGTGTATTCATTGTCATCAGCAATTAAAACATTCTATACATTTTTCTTCTCTTTTTCTGATCCAGTTTTATTAAATCGCTGCTCAGGTACTGTGGGTGGCAATAGCATGAATTCTATATGGTAGCTATGAAAATGGAGGCAAGGTTTGAGTCTTTGGAGAGAACTATTGTGGGTCGAACCAAAAGTGCGAAGGGTTTGGAGCTCAAGAGGAGCAACTTGCTCAATTGGAGTGCATGGTACAAAATTAGTCACGGGAGTGATAGGTTCTCTACCACAAGCCGAAATATACAAGGTCCACCTAGAATCACATTAGGTGGGAAAGGAGGGAAGAGTTAGTTACGAAGAGAGAAAGAGAAGAAAAGATAATGGAATATGTTATACACATAGGGAGGGGAGAAGAGAAGGAAAGGAATGTGGATTTTGTATTTTCAATTTGGGAGTCTAGAGTATACATTCTGACTTGGGTAGAGACGGAACTTCTCTGTGAAGCTTCTGCTCTGGAATTACAAGGGTTTATCTTCTAATACTTATATTTTTTATCAATAATACAGTTGTCGGTTTATCCTAATTCAAGTTCCTAACAAGGAGAGAGTGCGGGGACACTGGGAAACAATGGTGGCAAACCCCAAAAGTCAACGATGCATCAGAAAAGTCAGAAATGGATTTGAATAGTGTGGATACAAAGGAGAAGTTGCAGAAATTGGAAATCCTATTTTTGAAGGGGATGAAGCCTACGATAGGGTGAATAAACTGGAAAGATACTTTCCAATCAAAGGAGTGACAAATGAAGAGAAGATGGACACAATTATAAATACTTTGGAGAGTACTACTCTAAATCGGTTCATATGGTAGGCATCTTGCAACCTAAATTATCCTTGGGAAGGCTTTGATTTGGAGATTCCAACCAGGTATGGTGAAAGCATTAAAGCAGACCCAAGCAGTTGCAGAATTTGTGAATAAGTTTGAAAATTTTGTATGTGTTGTGAAGGGAAACATGGAAGAACAATTGATGGGTATCTTCCTTAGTGGGAAAAGGAGCAACTCTGGTGAAAGTGAAACTATATGACCCTAAGAGCCTGTTGACATATACACTCCAACTTGTGGGGGTGTGTTAAATATATGATTTGCTCCATTATAATTAGGGAAACTTGTATAGAGGAAATTAGGGATTCTGCTCATTATTAGTTGTTATCTTTTATTTCTGTATTTACTTATCGTGTATCCTTATTCATTATAAATAAAGGATTACATGTGTGGTAATAAACAAACACAATTCCTATAAGCTACTATCAAGAAATATGAGAAATATCTTAAATATAATTTTTATATCTTAGACTATCCTAGATGATTTGTTAGGATTTATTTTTATTATCTATTTAGTGATTTGTTTTCTTGTTTAATTAGGTCTATAGTATCATGTAAAAAGAAATATTACCTTATGTATTTATTGCATTAAGTCTATTAGAATTGTGAGTCTTAGAAATTAGAGAGGGAGAGAGTGAGAGAGTGAGAGCAGAATTAACATAGAAGAGTAAATTGGATTTTCAGTAATTAATCAGTAATACAATTGTCCTATTTATATGTTTCAATAGCTTCAATGGAAGCTATAGAAACATTGACCTAAACAGAAAATACAGAAACTGACTGAAATAATAACTCTATACATTAATATATCTAGTACAATTTTAAGGAGTAAAGATATACTCCAATATCCCCCCCCCCCCCCCCCCACCCAATGGCGAAGAATCAACCAACTTGAGCTTAGTTCGAAGTTCGCAAAACCGAGAGGGAGACAATGCTTTAGTAAGAATATCAGCATATTGATCAATGGCTGGAACATGAACCACATGAAGGAGATTGGCAGCAACTTTTTCACGAACAACGAAGAGATCCAGCTCCATATGCTTGGTCCGAGCATGAAGTATAGGATTATGGGCTAGTGCAACGGTGCTCATATTATCACAATAAACAACAGGAGTATGATGAGACACATGTAGTTCAGAGAGTAAGGTTTGAATCCACAGGACTTTAGCAGTGGCAAGGGCAAGACTTCTATATTCTGCTTCAGTGCTGGAGCGAGCAACAACCGTTTGCTTCTTGGACCACCAAGAGATGAGATTGGGCCCAACAAAGATAGAAGCACCAGAGGTAGATCTTCGGTCATCAGGATCAGAGGCCCAATCAACATCACAGTATGCATGAATAGACAAAGGGGAGTTAGATGGAGCTGGTTGCAGATGTAATCCCAGGAACATAGTGCCTTTTAAGTATCGAAGGATGCGTTTGACAGCGGACTAGTGTTGTTCAAGGGGGTTAGACATGAATTGACAGACTTTATTGACAGAGAAGCTGATTTCAGGACGAGTGATTGTTGCAAATTGTAAGGCACCAACCACATATCTGTATAAGGACACATCTAGGAATTTTTCCGAACCTGTTTTGGATAGTTTACACCCACTAACCATGGGTGAAGAAATAGAGTTAGAGTTTTCCATGTTGGTGCGATTGAGGAGGTCACGAATATATTTGCTTTGGGTTAAGGTAAGTGAGCCATCAGGGTTAGATTTGACCTCGATGCCAAGAAAAAAATCTAAACGACCAAGATCCTTGAGAGAGAATGTTGAGTTGAGTTGGGAAATAATACTGTGTAGGACAGAGGAATTATTTCCAGTGATAATAATGTCATCTACATAGACAAGGATGTAGATTACATTATTGCCAAGGGAGTAAACAAACAAAGAAGGATCACACTTGCTGATCTGAAAACTGAGTTGAAACAATGTAGCTTTAAGTTTATCAAACCAAGCACGTGGTGCTTGTTTAAGACCATAAATTGCCTTATGAAGTTTGCAGACCAAAGCTTTATCCGAGGATTCAAAGCTTGGAGGTTGGGACATATATACTTCTTCCTCAAGATTTCCATTTAGGAATGCGTTGTTGACATCCAATTGCTGAATTGACCAATGATGGGTTAAGGCTAAGGTGAGAATGAGACGGATGGTAACAGGTTTAACAACTGGTGAAAAGGTTTCATTATAATCCCAAATTGCTGATGAAAGCCTTTTGCAACCAGGCGAGCCTTATATTTGTGAACAGCACCATCAGGATTTTCCTTAACACGGAAAACCCACTTACAACCAATGGTTGTTCTGTTTGGAGGAAGAGAAACGAGAGTCCAAGTACCATTGTTTAGTAAAGCATTATATTCCTGCTTCATGGCAGCAAGCCATGTATCATTAGCCAAGGCTTGTTTGGTACTTTTGGGTTCAGTGTGAGTGAGTAAAAGAGTGGGATGAAGGCGGGGTTTGACAATGCCAACTTTGGCCCTAGTAGTCATGGGATGAATGTTAGCAATTGGAGCTGTGGCATGAGTGGGTAAAGGGGTGGATGAAGGTGGGAGAAGGGTAGAGGACGAAATAGGTGAAGTAGTGGCAGGGCTGGGTGGAGAAGCAGAGTTAGAAGTTGTAGGAGATGTGTTTTGAGAGATGATAGGAGGAGAGTCAGTGGGCAGAGTAAGCTGCGGACTGGTAATTACAAGGGGAACAGAAATTGAAGAAGTGGGTGGGTTGGTGGCAGAGGTAGGGAATAAACTGGGATAAGAAAAACGACTTTCACAGAAAATAACATCTTTGGAGATAAAAATTCTGCCAGTTGGGGCTAGACACTTGTAACCTTTATGAGAGGTGGAGTAACCCAAGAACACACATTCTAGGGAACGAAGTTGAAGTTTGTTCTTGTTGTAAGGTCGAAGGTGAGGAAAACAAGAATAGCAAAAAATTCTAAGAAAATTATAGTCTGGTAGCTAATGAAATAATTTTATGAATGGTACATCATGTTGAATGGATGATGAGGGTAGTCTATTAATGAGATAGATGATGGTTAAGAAGGCATGGTCCCAAAAATGCATAGGGAGGTGAGCTTGGGCCAGCATTGTAAGACCTAATTCAACAATATGGCGGTGTTTGCGTTCCACAACACCATTTTGATGATGGGTGTGTGGACAGATGAGTCGGTGTTGAATGCATTTTGAGACAGGTAGGAGGTGAATGAACGAAATTCTCCTCCCCAATCAGTTTGAATGGCTTTAATAGGTAATTGAAACTGATTTTGAATCATAGCATGAAATTGCTTAAAGACATCAAGCGTGTGAGCTTTGCTTTTGAGAAGAAAAATCCAAGTAAACCGAGTATGCGCATCAACAAAGGTAACATAGTATTGGTAACCATTATCAGATGTAAAAGGCACAGGGCCCCATAAGTCACTGTATATTAATTCAAAAGGTGTATGATATACTGTTTTAGATAAAGTGGAAGGTAATTTGTGAGATTTGCCAAGACAACAAGGGGTACAAAAATCAGAAACGGTTTTATTGAAGCTAGGAAAATTACAAAGTCTGAACACAGATTTCATTACATCATTGTGAGGATGTCCCAGTCTAGAATGCCAATTGCCAAGTGGCATAAGAAACAGAATTACAAGAGGCTATGTAAGCAGAGGGTGTGATGG